TATAAATCGTGAATTTTTATTTCCCTTTTTGAATCTTGGATTTTTGGATATTTTTGTTTTGCTCTTTCTGAAGTCGAGTATAATTCGGCCCTTTTGGAAACAGTTTGCTATTCCGGTTTTAAATCATTATTATTTTTGATTTTAGTAGAATTAATTACTTGAATTTTCATTTATATTTTGGTTTAGTGAATTTTTGAATCCTTGGGTTTGAGGTGAATTTCTTTAATTTTTTTTTATTTTTTTATATTCATTCCTTATTTGTTTTTGTTCCCAAGAAATTTTGAAGTTTTTTTCGGTTCTTTCTATATTTTCTTATTTTTGATCGGTATTCCAACCTCTTTTTAATTTTACCTGAGCTTTTAAATTTTTGCTGGGTTTTCAGCATTCGGTAGTTTTCCGATTTCATTTAATGTTTTTATTGAAATTTTTTATTTAAATTTGATTTGAAGTTTAGATAGATTTAAATTTTATTTTATTTTTATACTATATATAAATATATTTAGTTTTATTTAGCTCTTTCTGAGGGTTTGGGCGTGTTCTGGTCGTTTGAAGAATTTCTTCGTTTCAATTTCTATTTTCAATCCCTGAATTTTATAACCTTTTCATTCTAATTTTTTTGTTATGAGTTTATTTGTATTTTTTTTTCTTCTTCTGTATTTTTTATTCTGATTTTTTTTTTGTCTTACAAGTTAGTTTTGAATTCACCAGTTTTAATTAATTTATTTTTGTGAAGTGGTCTGTGTAAGAGACGTGTGTTAGTGTGTTTAGTTGAGTGAATGGAAGAACGTAAAGAAGAAGAGCGACTGATTCCAGGGGGTTTAGGACTGCTAAATTCAAACCGCAGGGTTACTCGAAGTGTAGCACGAACCTTAGAGAATCAAGTGGTAGGGTCCCTATTTACACAAATTGATACTGGTGTGCCATACCCTGTTGACTTTGTGCCTACAGATTATCTTAACCGTTGTGCAGCACGTGTCTGGGACGTCAACGCAGGAAGCGCCGAGCCCACCTCTAGTTAGGGTTACTCAAGAGGTAGCACTGAACGCTACGTATAATAGCTTGACTTTTTCGCAGAAGATTGAAGAATTGATGCAAATGTCTGAGGAGGAGCAGCAGCCAGGGGGAATATGCAGTCAGACGGTCAAGAACCGCGAGGTTCGAAGTCGAATGATGGTGGGCCAAGTTCTACATCCGTCAGTGTCGAACATCTGAGCCGGTTAATGGCAATGATGGCACAACAAGGTGACCTGATGGCTCAATGTACGAATGAGATCCGCCACATACGAGAAAATGTTGTGACTTTAAATAATAGAGTAGGTGAGGTAGAGACCTCGATGCAGGGAAACGGTAATAGACCGGTTATGGTTTCCACACCAGAAACTCGACGCGATACAAATGGTGAAAGGATCAATGGAGCAGAGGAGCAGAATGCAAGTCACCCGCGTCCACATAATGAAAGTACAAATAGAAAAATCGATTTAGACAAATGGCACGTACAATTTTATGGTACTGGTAAAGGTATGACGGTGGAAAGCTTCATTTTTCGTATAGAAAAGATGAGGGAGCAGTATGGCATCAGCTACCACCAGTTATTCACCGACTTCCACTGCATAGTCACCGGCAGCGCCTTGAAGTGGTATTGGCATGTGCTCGAAGACCACGCTGATGAACCTGACTTTGGTTACTTCGAGCTGAAGGCCGAACTGCTGATCCATTTTAGGACTGCCGAGTCGGACTATGAGATTATCAGAGAGATCATGGAGAGGAAACAGCTGCCCAAGAATGCTTTGAGGATTTTTATAGCGATGTACATAGTTTAACTTTTCGTCTCAGGAAGAGGATCCCCGAACAGGAACTTGTCAGCATAATTACAAGCAATCTCAAACCATACCTGTCAAATTTAACCTTCGCTTCGAAAATTAGCACATTAGCTGAACTCAAATCTGAGTGTAAACGAGCCGAAAAAGTCATTAAGGAAAATAGGAGTGGGCCTAAACCAATAAGTGAAGTAGAGTTCGATTATATGAAATGTGAGGCGTCACTAGATAGAAGCGTAGAAGCGATAGGTAGGGCACAGTGCAATAAGACACAACAACCAGTGGTTGCTAGTAAGAAGTCGTCATCGTTCGTTAGTCAAGATGTTAGTGCAGAGGTCCAGAAGTCTACGATTAACCCCTTTTGTCCGTCCCCGTTTCACCTAATGTTGTGTTTCTCTTGTGGTATGCCTGTAGATTATTATGTCAAGAACCCCGCAGAGGCCCATAGTAAATGTAAGTGTTCATTCCACGATATGGTCTGTTTCGCGTGTGGTGGTAGTTCGTTGTTTTGTGTATTTAAACTTAGTCAGGGAAACCAGAAACTGGCGGAGTTATCCGGGGACTTACGCCAGGAAAAGGAGCTCCCGGATCCAACCAAGTGAAAGTTCTTAAACGAGAGGTAGAGAATAAAGCAAAGAAGAAGAAAGAAATGTCAGAAAACCAGGTAGTAAAAAGCTTGCATCAGAGAAAGCTGGAATATGAGGGGGCGCATAGACGCCTCTTTTGTGAGGAAATTCTTCAGAAAAAGAAAATGAGAAACTATAAAAAGATCGGGAAAATGCGAGCAAAGAAGAAGAATATGAAAAGAACATGTCGCAAGATAATCTCAACAATCGTTACTATTAAAGGAGACATCAGGTTCTTCGCCAAAACAAAAATAGGAGATCAGGAGGTGTTAGCCTTATTGGATTCAGGAGCAGGGGCTAGTTGCCTGGGCATGAATGCTGACAAGCTCCTGGAGGGCAAAGAAAGTATTATACTACCTATTAAGGGGCAGAATATCCGAACCGCGAACGGTGGAGAAACCGCGGTGGTGTGTGTTGTTACTCTCCCCGTCTTGTGGGATAATATAACGCGAGATTTAGAGTTATTGATCGTACCTGGCTTGCAACAAGAAGTTTACTTAGGTATAGATTTTTGGAAGGCGTTTGATATGAGTGTTGTTAGTAAAGGAGTGCCTGCGAGTGTGAAAGGTGTTGGTGTTTCAGAGCGTTTACCCGCCGAAGGAGACCTCACCTTTGACGCAGTGCAACATGACTTGACTCACGATCAAACTGTAACATTAGAGCGTGTGAAGGCTCATTTCCCGTCCTACGCCGTGTTCGGACTAGGCAAGACAGACAAAGAGGAACATGTAATAGAAGTAACCAACGAGAACCTCTCAGTAAAGCAGAAGCACTACCCAATATCCCCAGCTATTCAGAAACTTGTTTATAATGAATTAGATCGGATGCTTGAGATGGGAGTAATAGAAGAGTCTAACAGTAGTTGGAACTCGCCAGTTTCACTCGTTATAAAAGAGACCAAAAACCGCCTCTGTCTGGACGCTCGCAAGGTAAACGAAAGGACCATTAAAGACGCTTATCCACTGCCTCACATTGATGGTATCCTAAGCCGATTGCAGAATACTAGTTTCATATCTGCAATTGATTTAAAGGATACATTCTGGCAAATACCTTTAAAGAAAAAGTCCAGGGAGAAAACGGATTCACCGTACCAGGTCGACCGTTGTATCATTTCACGGTCATGCCATTTGGGTTGTGCAATGCGGCACAACGTATGTGTAGGCTCATGGACAAGGTAATACCCGCTAATCTTCGTGAATCTGTGTTCGTTTATTTGGATGACTTGTGTGTTCGGAAGATTTTGTGTCCCATTTGTCCTTGTTAGAAAAAGTTGCTAAATGTCTCCGTGAAGCCAAACTTACAATAAACGTTGAAAAGAGCAAATTTTGTTTTAAGGAAGTAAGGTATATTGGGTACGTCGTGGGCAACGGTTGCATCCGTACAGACGCGAGCAAAGTCGCAGCCATGAGGGATTTCCCGGAGCCACGAACCCCGAAGCAGCTCAGGCGGTTCCTGGGGATGACAGGGTCGTACCGGAGATTTATACAAGACTACGCGACGATAGCAGCCCCACGACTGTCCTCAAAAAGGACAGAGTAAACAAATTTACCATGACGGACGAGGCCAGAAGGGCGTTTAATCAGCTGAAAGAAAGCCTGATTTCGGCGCCAGTCTTGACACACCCCGACTTCAACAGACACTTTTTTATACAATGTGACGCGTCAACGGACGGAGTGGGCGGGGTTTTATTTCAGTTAGACGGCGACGGTAGTGAGCGGCCAATAGCATACATTTCGGCCAAACTTAACAAAGCGCAGCGCAACTACAGTATTACGGAGCTAGAGTGCTACGCTGCAGTTCTGAGCATCAAACGATTTCGGCCGTATGTGGACGGACTCCCTTTCACGGTTATAACTGACCACGCGAGTCTGAAATGGTTGATGAACCAAAAGTATTTGTCGGGCAGACTCGCGAGGTGGAGCATAAAGCTCCAGGCTTATGACTTTGAAATTCAGCATAGAAAGGGGTCCCAAAACGTCGTGCCAGATGCACTGTCGCGGATGAACTTGGAAGAGATGGCGGTAAAGGACCGAATATTGGATGTATGCTTAGACTCACCATTTTTCAACACAGACGAATACGAGGAGCTTAAAAAGACTGTGACCAACAACCAGGACAGACTACCCGAACTTTGCATATCGGACGGTTATGTATACAAACGGACGCAATTTAGTAGTGGGGATGACCTTCAGCAGGACCACGCCTGGAAACTCTTGGTGCCGACAGAGCTGCGCCGTGGGCTCGTGGAATCCTCGCATGATTCACCGTCGGATGGTCACGGTGGACTTCATAAAACTTCGACGCGCCTAAGAGAAAAATATTATTGGCCAGGCATGGTAAGCGACGTCCAAAACTACGTAAAAGCTTGTGAAACTTGTAAGGGTAACAAAACGCAAAACGCCTTCCATAAGCCCCTAATAGGCAAACAACGTGTCACTGAAAGGCCTTTTCAACGTTTATTCATTGACTTTATGGGTCCCTACCCCGTACGTGTTGTGGAAATGTCTATGCGTTTGTATGTTTAGACCACTTCTCGAAGTTTGTATTCTTAAAACCTATGAGAAAAGCCACTGCTGCCGAGATCATTAAGTTTTTAGAGAATGAAGTGTTCCATATTTTTGGAGTGCCCGAATATGTCCACTCGGACAACGGGAAACGATTTGTCCCGGACATATTTAGCCAGTTCCTGGAGAAGTATGGTACGCAGCATATTAGGACCGCATTCTATTCACCGCAAGCCAACGCAGCAGAAAGAGTTAACCGTTCGGTGTTGCAAATCGTGAGGTCGTATATTAAGGGCAACCAAAAGAATTGGGATAAGGACCTTAGCGATGCCGCTTTCGCCCTCCGCTGTGCCGTGCATTCTGTGATTAACGACACCCCGTATCATGCAGTCGTCGGTATGCCTATGATACAGCATGCTGCATCATATGAGCTATATCGAAGACTTTGCGTTATTAGAGATGCGGACGGCGAGGTCGAAATGCTGGCAGATAAAACGCAGCTTATCCGAAATAAGATAATGAAGGAATTAAAGTTAGCTCATGAACGAAGTAAGAAGACCTACAATACGAGAAGTCGAGAAGTGAACTTTCAAATTGGACAAGTGGTGTACCGCCGAAACTTCAAGCAGAGTTCACAAGTCGAAAACTACAACGCTAAACTTGCCCCAAAACAGGTTAAGTGCGTTGTATTGAAAATAATCGGAAATTCCATGTACGAACTTGGTGACTAGTGGCAAGAAGATCGGGGTATACCACGCTAAGGATATCTTTGTGGCATAGTGTATTTGGTTAGTTATGTTTTATGTTGCATGTCTAGCGTTGGAGACTGTTCGTGTTAATTGTATAAGTAATGACTTGACTTACATAGATTTACCACCCATTGTCCTTAACTACTTGACTAGATATACGAGTATTTATATTTTTATTTTGCTTCTTGACTAGATATATATGTATTTATATTTTTACTTTATTACTTGCCATTCTATTTCGATATATTTCATAGTTACGAAAATTTTTTTATCTATGATATTTACTTATTTACTTGACTACTTATGTGATTATTATCATATTTATCTATTTTTTTTTATTTAATTACTTTTTTATTTTTTTTATGACTTATTTGTTTAATTATTTATTTATTATGATGAGTTCTCCTTATCCTTTCTTAGTTTAATATTCAATTAAGAATGTATTAAATTTTTTTCAGATAAGTTCATCAATGAGAATGGCGGCTATGAAGCGGAATATATAGCTGCATCGATGTCATTTTTCCAATTTGCCAATAACCGCATGTAATTGAAAGCACGCAACAAGATGTAATAATTAACTTTTTTATGTTTAATTTTTGTTTGTTATCGTGAATTTGTATGCTAAAATGTCTATTCCCTATGTATATTTTCGCGACTGTAGATGAGTCCGCCGAAAATTCGTATTTATTTTAGTTTCTAGATGTTAAGCAATCTATGTATGAGTTTTTAATGAAATATCTTTAAATAAAGGGTTATAAAAATGTTTATAAAAAGCTTTCTTTTGAAAATTTTTAGTAAGTTTACATTCATACGCTTATAAACAACTTTTTGAGGCATGAGTGACATGCTCGGCCAAATCGTGCCCAATAAAATGGTACTCGGAAAGACCGCAAAGTTCAATCGCAAAAGTTACGGTGCGTTGAAAAAGTGTCGTGGACCAAGTTTTCATAAGAAGTTAAAAAAAAAAAAAAAAAATCGCTAAACGGCAGTGAAGTGCTAAAAACATAAATGCTTTCGTCATCCTTACGGACTCGTAAAGACCCGTTTTTGCATCCTGTTATTTCGGAATTGGAGGTATGTACAAATGTATTTTTATTAACAAAAAAAAGGGGGCTAGATGCAGTTTGGAAAATTGTTGTTAAACGCCAAGGTGTAATCTTGTTGGTGCCAAAAACTTTCGAAAATAATTATCTTATTAGATTTGTGTGTGCACTAATATTCCCAAATGCATACACTGGCTAGGGACACGAATTTCGATACGACACGATACCATATCGATACTTTTGGCATTCGATACCGATATTTTCTACTCGATAATTTTAAAACGATATTTTTTGGAATCGAGTATCAGAACCCTAGTATCGTATCGAATGTCATAAACACACGTTCCAACACTGAGGGAAAAAATTTTAGAATTAAAAAAAAACCTGTTAAATTGAAAAAAATACGCATATGAAAGAGCACCAACCCAACTCGTTTTAAATTTGAGTATATACGTTATAA